ATATTAGTTTCACTCCATTATTGTACATATTCATTTTACTTTCCATAGTTTACTTTATAACTTTTTTTGTATTTCTCCGTAATAGCTTAGCTTCTTATTTCCTTTAGTAGCTTATTTTTGAATTTTTAGCTTCTTTTTACATTCTGCGTGATCAATAAGTCTTTGAATTTCTTAATGCCATGGTTCTTTCCAAAGGTGGATGTTGTGTGAACTAGGTGACTTTTCCCAACGATGAATGACATGACAACCTTTTTAATTTTTGTTTTGGTGTATATAGTAGTAGTAATAAATAAAAGTGTCTCAAGCAGGCTTCACTTGGTACTAACACATTTACCTTCGATCTCATGGTTAGAGACAAGTTGATTTGCAAAGATTAGCTCTAGTTGTGACCTTTAGACTCCTGCATTGGCTAAAACAATCATTGAGTGGTTTCCTTGAGCCATTTGCGATTTTCAATCTTAGCTAGGGTTGTTGTGGGCCCTCGACTCCTATTCTCTCTAACAATCCAGCGGCTCGAGAGGTGAGGTATTGAATTGCAAGTCCAAGTCCCGTGCCAAAAGGTCTAGAGCTTGCCCTGAATGTTTGTCTAGGCGAAATTCTAAATGTAGCTCGACTTGAGAAATGATTGTAGGCTCTTCTTGGTCCAAGTTGAACTTTGAAAACTTCCGTAGCCTACCAATATGATATCCCTAGTCAACTCCTTTGAGCCTAAGCCTTTTTCATTCAATAGCCACATTACAAGCCTTTATCCGTCCTATAATGACCCTCTCTTGGCACCCAAACGTTCCTTAGCATTCATGATGAACAATTGGCAAAAGCATAAGTTTGGGGGAGAGACGAGTAAATTAAAAGTGATAAAAGGTTCAAAGAAGAAAAAGAATCATTGAAAAGGAAATGAAAAGAAAAGAAATAAAAGCCATAAAAAAATACATCAAAAAGAAAGAGAATGTTGAAGGGATTCAAAGAACATAATGATGAAAGGCAAGGAATGATGAGAAAAGGAGAAATATAATTGTCATGAGTAAGCAAGAGTGGTGATTTACATAAGGGGCAAGCTTATGGTACTTAGAGCTGGACTTGTGGCATTCTTTTGAGAGTGATGAGCGCACTTCTTCACAATCCTTGTTTTGAGGGTTACATTCTAAAAAGCGAGATTTACTCATGGAGAGTAGAGGAGGAGGAGTTTGGGATCCACAATGACCTACGTGAGAGAGCGAGCTTCCTTGATGAATTGAGTCAACTCTTGATGCTCTAGTGTCACATTAGAACTATGGAACTCAAAAGGGCATAACACAACGTTGTTGATAATTCATTTGTGTTGAGGGTAATTGTTAGTCCCAATTGATGCTTGATGAAGGCACCTTAGGCCAGCTAAAATATCCTTTTCTTTTCTTGTGGATGTTGGAATTACTTTATTTGCTTGAGGACAAGCAAAAACTTAAGTTTGTGGGAGTTGATAAGTAGAAATTTTAGCCTATTAATTGCTCTCTTTTACTTGTGTTTTGGGCTTAAAATGCGTGAAGGTATTCCCGAAAACTAACCTAATATGCTTGCTTGCAGGGATTGTTCAAAATGAGCCAAAGGAGCCATAATCAACTCATAAAGGAGTCAAAACTTGAACAAAAACTAAAACTAGGCCAAGAGGTGTGGAATGCAGACCGCGACAGAATAGTGCGGCCGCGAAAGTATCAACGCGGCCGCGGCCATTATTTCACGGTCCGCGATATGAAGAATCAGAGAGATGGTTTTTTTAGGCACAAACATGAACGCGGACCGCGACAAGAAGATGCGACTGCAAAAGTACCAGCGCGACCGCGATGAAAATTTTGCGGACCGCGGTTGCTAAGGTTCAGAGAGTGCATAATTCAAAAAAAAATGAGAAGGGCGGTCCGCGTCAAAGTTACACGGCCGCGGAAGTCTCTCACGCGGACACGGTAAAAATTTTGCGGTCCGCGAAACAAGGTTCAACCCAGGTCCAGATGTGAAGAAGCGCGGACCGCGTTCAGAATTACGCGGCCGTGAAAGCAAGTGTGCGACGGCGGTCAAAATTACACGGTCGCGAAACTTTTGCAGGGGTATTTTTGTCCGAAAATTTTAGCTTAGTATAAATAGATCTTTTTTTCAATTCTAGGTTATGTTATATTTTTGCTGAGTACGTGAGACGACTAGGTTTTTCTTTTTGGGCAATTTTGTACAAGATTTACTTTATAACATTAGATTTTCACCTTTTAATTTAGTATTATAGATTATTTTTTCTCCTTATCTTTGATTTCTGCTATTATTATGAGTAGCTAGACTCATTGCTAGGGTTGTGACTCAACCCTAGTGTGGGTATTTAATGGGTCTTGAATTTTAGGGCTTGAATATTTATGGGTTAGTGATATTTAGCCTAGTTCTTGCTAGAATTATAGATTTAGTGGTTGCAAACACTGATTCATGCCTTTATAATTTGGTCTCTTCTTGAGAAAGATGGATTAAGTCTGGAAAAACTAGGCTAACAAGGAATTTGTGTGAACTCAAGAAATTAATAGCCACCAATTAAAGGGTTAAACCTAGAGATAGTAATACCCGACTTGAGCTAATATCACATGACTTGCATGAATACCCAGTTGGACTTGAGAAAGCCAAATTGGGCAAAATCACTCAACCTATCGAGAGATATAGAATGAAAACTTGGGTGTGATGGCTATATTACAATCCCAAATTAATCAAGCTTACCCTAGATTCTTACTACATTTTAGATGTCCACCTAGGCGAAAGTCACTACCCTAGTCCGTTTAAACACTTGAAAACCTACATAAAAAATATCGTACTTAGCTATAATCTTAACATACAATAGAAATAAAAATATAAATAAAATTAACACCATCATGTTTGGAAGTGCAATTAGGAACAACACACGCATCTAGACTTAGATATAAACCTAATTCCAAATCAATTAACTCTCTGTGAAAATCGATCCCGACCTTGTTGGGTAAAACTGCATTGACTATCCTCGTTACTCAATAGTGGTGTAGGTTCGGACTCGATCATTTACCCCTCAGATGAGAGAGAGGATATTTTTAGATGATTCAGAATATGGCTTTATCGGCCTAGGTTGAGGGTTACCCCTCTAGTGTTCACAGTTACAGAGTGGTACGCTCGGGCCGAGTATGGTACCGGGTGCCGACCACGCCTCTACAGGTTTGGGGCGTGGCATTCCCAAACCGACTGTAGGACATTTTCGATGATCGTGTCCTGTTTGGGAGCATATACCACATTTACGTGCATATATGATATCACTAACATCCATTTGGTTCTATATCCGCGTTCTTTTTTGCACTTGTCTGCGACGCACAAAATCCTTCTTACAAACCATTTTAATTAGTTCCGGCGGCCAATAATACTCAGAACCCAGTGGTTGGAAGTGACCGCTATAGGTGTTTGCATATGCAGCCATACTATATTCTTTATCAACATACCTCATTACTGCAAACCCAGCATGTTGAAAGCACTTCATGGCATGTGAGCATGGCAAGTGATAAATAGACTATTTTTCACATGAACATAATCACATGGATTCATTGATGGTGTGGGTAATATACGGTTTTGATGCAAACCAGTGCGAACTTCAAAACTATTTCGATCGCTGTAATATTGCAAATATGTATGCCACTGTGCCCGCTTCCTATATTTGTCAAATCGTTTCATCGGTTATGGCATAAATTAAATACCTATTTCCAGAAAGGATGATGCACTGCAGAATCTTTCAATAAACCTCTCTACAAGCTGCTTGAATGACATCTGCACCATGGCAGTGACAGGTAATCTACGGGCAGACTTCAAACAACCCATTAAAAGTCTCTGATACATTTGTAGTCAAAATGTCCCATCTTCTGCCACCATCCTTATGCAAAGTCCACTTATCAAACTCATGTTGCATCAACCAATCATAAGCTCCTTCGTCTTCCTGCCTAATAAACTCCATTCACATCCTGAATTTACACTCTTAATGGTCTGTTACAACCATCCACATTAAATCATGTAAGCTCTTGTTCAGATGAGCCCGCTGGAAGTTGGACTTCAAGCGCCTAACACAGTAACGGTGGTAGGCGTACGACTCCTTCCATGTATCTAAAGTATTCATAGAACTTAAAATCCTACTGTGCCGATCAAATATTAGACAAATACCTAAATGTTATCTCACAACTCCTTCAAATGGCTTAAAAATCATGTCCAAGTTTCTTGAATTGCATTGGCACAAATAGCAAATGCGAGGGAAAATATGCTTCCATTAGCATCTATTGCAATGACAATCAACATCTTTATATAATACTTTCTATATACATGTGTGCCGTCAATGGAGATTATCGACCGACAATGAACAAAACCATCAATGGATGGTTTAAATGCCCAAAACACATATATGAATATGTATTCTGGTATGTTAGGAATCCGATCGTGCTTCCATTCAATAACAGTCCCAGGGTTAAAGTGTTGCAAGGCAGCCATGTACCTCAGTAGAGCTGCAAATGACTTATCCCAATTGCCATAAACAATCTCAAACACACGTTTACGCCCGAGAAATACCTTTCTTTTGGTAATGGTACACCTATATACCCGCGCAAATGATGTTATACACTCTTTCACCTTGTACCTTATGGACGATTCAATGTGTGAAATCAAGACAAGGGAAATCAAATCAACATTCAAGTTAAAATGATTCCCATTGAATGTGTCCATATCACAAGTGTACTTGATAATGTATTTTCCCACGATCCACATATTAATTTTTAACTTTATCGCACGCATCATCCACTTACAACCTTGGTCCCATCTACGACAAACAACCTTATATATTTGCTTAGATGACTCAACAACCTCGATCTCACGACAACTTTTTATGCTGTAAATTCGCTCCATCCTATTAAGGCCCGACTTGTCAGTAAAAAGCAGATTCTTACAGAGCTCTATTGGTCTAGATTCATCCCACATTGTTGTACGAATGTTATCAATATCCCTTGTGACTTGTGAAGACATCCACATCCGGCATACTGGGCAAGTGATCAAAGTAGGGAATCTCCCTTGAATGAAAGGGAACGCGAGACTCATACACTATGGGTCTAACGGTAGGTGGAGTCTGCATGTAAAGAGCGTGCTTAGTAGTGACATCATGCTCCCTCATCAAATCGGGTTGTTCATTCTCATTCTCATCTGCGAAGTGTGGTTCCTCATCATTGTCGCTCTCATCAGGGAAGGGTGTATCATCTCCAGGCTCATTAACATTATTGTCATAATCATCGTCATCTTCCTCACTCTGTGCATCTGCCATATCCTGATTCAATATATCGTCATCGCGTGAGTTAGGACAGAACCGTCATGTTGCTCGTCTTCACTGCACAACCAACAAAAATAATGAGTTTCTCAGAGTCATCCCAATATAATATATTAATTTTATCTCTTAACTTACAATTCATAATCTGTAGATAGCCCATGATGCATATTATCGAGTTGTTGATGACTCGTAGATAGATCAGTATGATCCAAACCTCCAAAATTAGATATATTCCAATTGTTGGTTGGTTCATAACTTATAAAATTCAAATCTGATCGGTAACCCCTTTGAAAGACATAAGTGTTAATATGAATATGATGCATAAAAGAAACAATAATACTACAACAAGAAAAATTAAAATTTACTACTCGGCGTGTGAATTATGTAAACTTGACGACACTCCATGCTGCTGCATGGGGGAGAAATTATGTCCTCGCTCCTAATTCGCCCGTGGAGATAGGTTTATATCTGGCCAGACTCTTTCATACGGAACCTGTTTGGATAAAACTTCTCCAAAAACACCACCAGATGATTGAGTGTTATCTATATTTTGCGGAACATCAATATTGTTGACGTCTTCAGACTTGACGTACATTCCAACATTTTTAACACAAGAACATCTCGGTGTTCATCCGGAGTCCTAAAGAAATCTTACAGAGTTTCATCGTCTTCGATGTTAAACTCGACATAACAAGCAACCCCCTGCGAAGTAAACGACATATCTTCTGGTTACCTTAATATTAACCGAACGTTTATTCACACTCATCCTTTTATAAATCAAAGATACCAATCCGTCGTACTCCAATGTGAGTGGTAGCTTAACAATACTCTGCGGAGAACAACTATAGTGTATCGATTTATTCTCCACCACAACCTTACCTCCCCAATATAATGCAACCCCAATTTTTCGCTCTTCAGACATTCTAGCAAACTTCAAAAAATATTGATGGATATGAAGTGATATAAAGGATGCTGAAGAATGAATTTTTCAGAATGATTTTTTGAAGAACGAATGTTGGACCTTAAGTAAGAAAATATTTAATGCGAGGGGATGACAATTGGTATGTATAGCGCATGCATTATATGCGTTGTACATATAACACATAAAATACATGCGTATACACAACAATTATTATGTGTTAGGAAATATCAGGCAGTGACAAAGCTAGAAATTTACTCAAGGGCATTCAAATTTAGAAGAAGTAAAAAAAATCTCGACAAAGGGTGTTCAATATGTGTTATAGACCTCTAAAACGTAATATTTTATCTATATACACAGTGTAATTTTTCGACGAAGGGTGGTCAACTGACCACCCTTGTAACCATGTGGCTTCGCCACTGATAACAGGCATAGCACATGTATTTCATGCGCTATACCTTAACGGAGTAACTGGACGTTAAGGTATAGCGCATTAATAAATGCGCTTTATATAAAAATGTCGTCAAGTTTTTTCCACATATTTTGATGTTTTGAGTCCAATTTTGCATTATTTAGGTTCCGGACTCCAATATTATCACTATTGGATGATATCATTGAGATAGTAATCATACTTTTTCAATATCTAAAATTATGAAATTTGAGGTGAATTAATCGATGTTTGCCAATGAGGGCTTTGTTGAATAGTTAAATTTTGATTTTAAAACAAATAATTTTCAAGTAAAATTTCAACCATCGCATAGTCTGAGACAAATGATTAGTATGATCGCCTCCTCATGTGAGTATCTAATATTTCAGCTGTAAGTGAATTCTCATTCTAAATCGAACTAAAAAAAAAAATCCAACTAGTATTATCTTTTTTCTAATGTATGTATAAGGATAATTTATTTTGTTAGATTCTAGATTCCCTATTTATTGATGTCGGAACATTGTAGGAGGGTTTTTCTTAGGCCAAATACATATACAATCCATTAAACTTGGCTCCATTTTTCATTTTGGCACTCTATTTCAACCTTGTTCCATTTTGGTCCTCCAACTCTATTTCTTATGTTTCATTTTAATACGAAAGTTGACTAGTCACATAGTGTGAATTGGCTCACATGGTAGGCGCGTGAGGCAAATTGTTTATGGTAAAATTCCTTCTCCAACAGTAATAAAATAATTGTTGGCCCCATTTTTCCCTCAACTTCCTTCCCCCATATTTCATCTTTATTTGAAATCGATTTCTTAAAAAATAAATTTTGCGGGACACTAAAAGAGTTTCTTGTATTTTTGCGCCAAAAATAATGACCGAAGTTGGTCGGTTTCGTAAAACAAAATTAAAAAATAAAATATTTTGAAATAAATTTATATTTTGTGAAACGTGTGTGCATGCATATCTTGAAATACCCACAAATTTCATAAATTTTCGAACCGCTAAACTTTCGAAACCGCGAACTTTCGAAACCGTAAACTTTATAATTTCTAAACCTGTAAACTTCCAAACACATAAAGCTCCGAACTCATAATTTTGGAACTTGTAAAATTTCGAATCTGTAAATCGAAAGATGAAAAAACTAAAACTGAAAAAATATAAAAAAAAATATTTCTTTCCCCGGGGGAGGGGGTGCAGAAAAATGAAAAAAACAAAAATTTGAAATTACAAAAAAAAAAAAAAAAAAAAAAAAAAGTAAAAAAAATATAATGGGTTCAATGTTAAATATCTTAAAATTGAATCCATAGAATTTAAATCTTGAATCCGCCTCTGGCAGTAGTCACAAAGGTGGAACTGCCTAGAACAAAAATATAAGGTCCCAAGTTGTGAGAAAGAGAACAGCGAAATTTTTGTAGGAATATCGCTTCTTGAATTCGTTCTTAAGCAAGAATTGACCAAATCTTGTTGTTTGGAAAACCGCATGAAGGTTGGTCTGGACTTGACAATTGATGCTAAAAGGCAATTGGATCAGATTTCTAAAATATCCTCCATGATTGATATTTAAAGACTTGATTTTTCCATGCAAACTGAGGTTCTCATCTGGTGCAAACTAGTATTCTACTAAGCAAGAAGAAAGTTAATGCATTTACTGATCAACTACAACTTTAGAGTCGATCCTTTTCCAGTAACACTCTAATGTCTACACTCGCAGAATAATTTCGTGAAAAACTAACTGAGGCTGTTGGTGAACTACTGGAGTTGGTGCTCTGGTTGATTTAAGAACTCTCCTTACAACAGAACAACACATGTTTTTTAATTTTTTTCTTTTTCTGTAATTGTTTGGAATAGAGGGTAATTGATTTGGAAACTGTTGCGACCAGGACATCCCAATAAAATGTGTCTACGCAGTTAAGGTGTGCTGTGCTTTTGCGGCAATTGAGGTCTCTTAAAAAAAAAAAAAAAAAAAAAAAAAAAAGAAGTAAAAAAAATATTTTTACGTCCGATAAAAGTTTTTGTGTTAAAATGAAACATAAGAAATAGAGTTGGAGGGCTAAAATTGAACAAAGTTGAGATAGAGTGCCAAAATGAAAAATGGAGCCAAGTTCAATGGGTTATCTATGTATTTGGCCAAGCAAGTATGTATACGCGTTGTATTTTTACGTCCGATAAAAATTTTTGTGTTAAAATGAAACATAAGAAATAGAGTTGGAGGACTAAAATGGAACAAGATTGAAATAGAATACCAAAATAAAAAATAGAGCCAAGTTTAATGAGTTTTTATATGTATTTAGCCTTTTTAACGGGAAGACGGGCATGCAGTTTCATATCTGCACCTCTTTGACTATTTTCCCCCTGATTTCACTATTTCATGTGTTTATTAAGCATAAAAAGATTTTTATGATTAAAAATATGGCAAAATGAATGATGTTCTCATTATGTTATACTCTTAAGCTTTTCATTTATGAAAAAGGAAAATAGTTTATTCACATTCGGTTTATACCGAAGGTGTGTTTGGTACGAATCAAAATATTTTTCGAAAAATATTTTTTAATTTTCTCATGTTTGATTGACTTTAATGTTTTAAAAAATATTTTCCTCATGAACTCATTTTTCTTCAAATGGAGGAAAATATTTTCCCTATCAAGAGAAGGAAAAATATTTTNCCCCAACCCCATCCTAAATAAAAATATTATTAATAGTACTTTCTTTTCATGTTATAGATAAATTTTTATTTCAATAAATGAGCATTTTTTTCATGATATAAAAAAATATTTTTTTATTTTAACAAAAAAAGACTTTCTTTTCATGATGTAGAAAAAATATTTTCTTTCGTTTCAACAAAATAAATATTTTCTTTGAAAATGAATATTTTCTTTGCATAATGTAGAATTTTTTTTTTTTTTATTTTAATAAAATGATTACTTTATTTTTATGTTTTAGAAAAAGTACTTTCTTTTTTGACCAAAAAAAGAGTATTTTTTTTTATAGTTATGGATCACAAATTTCAATGTTGTTTTGCGTAAAAAATTAAAGTAGCACATTAGTTCTTTTGAGTTTGTCTAAATTTTTAGAAGAATAATTAAATTGTTGAGGAAAAGAGAGTCTTGAAAACGTTAGGTATTTGGAGGGGGAGAGAGAGCAAGGAAACATGAGGACTTGGGGGAAAGGGGGTGAGGAGAATAACATAAAAAAATATTTTCCTAAAAAAATATTTTCTACTCTCTAATCAAATATTAAAAAATATTTTTCGAAAAATATTTTTTACTCACCAACCAAATAAGAGAAAATAAGTGATAAAACTACTCATTTTCTGGGAAAACATTTTCCTTCCAACCAAACACACCCCAAGTCGTGTTAGTTTCTACGACAGACCAGCTTCAGGCACGTCCACTCACAAGTTTACGTGCGTCTATTTAACAACACTTGGCGCTTACAGATACATGTCTATCAATCTTAGAAGTTGTGTCACGGTTATCTGGCATGACACGTGTCCTCCCTCCTCCTCTGTTTCTTTTTGCTTCCTCCTCAGTACTCACTAAGCTAAGTACTCTCACTCTTTACCTAATTACCACCCGATATTTAGTTTGTATACATATATGGAGTACGAAGAGATGCACAAAACGACGCCGTGCGCGGCGGACGGTAGGTTTTCCGATGATGAACTGGTGGAATATGAGTGGGAAGCGGCGGAGGCGTTGGCTTGTTTGTCGCATCCGGTGACTGGTGACGTTCAACTCTACATGGACGCCCGGGATGTAGCTGGCTTATATTCAACAGTATGTGTATTTATGAATGAGTAATATGTTACATCCAGTTTTACTAGAACTATAATGTACAATGCTAACGTATTATACTATAACTTAGGGAGAAAACGGTCAAATTTACCTCAATATTATTTGAAATTAAGCAACTTTACCCTCAGTTAAACGCTTATTAATTCGCCTTTAGGGAAAGTAGATATAGACATTTCTTCCGAATGAATTTGGACATGTGGAGTCTGCCCATTTCACGTTGGGACTCTGTTAACGATAAGGACAAATACGAGATAATTTACTAAGGCAAGGTATGAATTGACAAAAAGTCTGTCAGAAGACAAAATTGAGCAATTTCGGGACAAACTTGGGTCTTTTCTCAATAACTTGGAAGCATTGCCAATTAGTTTGCTTCAACTTCCAAGCTCAGTAGTTACTTAAGAGTTCTCAACACATGTAATTATGGCTGCTATACTTATCTTTAGTGTGATTCCCTATTCTGAATTAACATAGGTCATCAATAATTAGTTTATTGGCTACCAGATAAAGTAATTATTATGGACAAGTTGAGTAAACTGACTTAGGATTATCAAGAGAGGGGACAAAAGGGATGGGGGGCTACTCTCTGATCCTGATGCAACATATTTTTGTATGTCTAGATCAAAATTACTACACTCTAACTTTGTTGAGATGATTAGTTTCTTTGTCATGTTAGCTTTTTTAGGACGTACACTCTGAGTATTTTCCTATGTTCCAAATAGCATTTATGGGCATTGTAGACTATTACATATCTTTTGCAATTCTGTTCTTTTGGCGGACTTCAACGATGCCCTTGTTTATACAGGAGCAAGAAATAGCCATTCGGTCTGAGGATGAATCTGAACTCGATACGAGTCTTCTATGTGCTTCAAATAATCCACCAGTTACCAGCGGCAAATCGAGGCAGGATTTGACTGAGGTGCTGAAAAATTACAATCTCTTATCCTTATTCCTTAGATGTTCCTACTTTCTTATCATAGCAACTGTTTTCTCAGGCGGAGAAGGAAGGACGGAGGCTGCGCCGTGTATTTGCAAATAGAGAATCTGCCAGGCAGACAATTCGCCGAAGACAGGTTTGCTCATCTGAGCTATTTTCGTCAGGAACACCAGTATAACTCGCAGCTGTTCTGGACCAGTTATATATCAATATAATGTGCTTTTCCTCATAGGAATTGCCTCTCTAGCAGAACCTGTGTGGTCGAACGCTACATATTTGGTGTCTCTTTTCTAACTTGACTTTTGACTTGCTTGTATTCATTATTTTTGGTTGGACCAGTACTTTGTTTATATCTCTGTCGCTGTGTTGCATGCACTGGTTTATGTTCATCATGAATGCTTTGGGAAGTAAAGTCTCCTGGAGAGTGTCGAAAGGATTTCTCCTTAAAAAGGTTTAGTCCTTGTTGTCCATGGTGTTTTCTTTGTAATTAAGGCCATTTCGCTAGTTTTAGATTAACACATACCATTGCCGGCTAAGTAGGAATATCTATTCTCCTTTTCCAAAGATGTCTTTGTTTTCTCAAGTGGAAGTAGCTATTTCGGTTTCATTAAAATAATAAGCATTTCAATTAACAAGGAATTCTTTCTTTTCTTTCTTGGTGTTACCTAAACGTTTTGCATAATTGTCATCATATTCATCTTGTAGCTAATATTAACTGACTAGATTATTGTGTCTCCCGTTCAATTTAGCCGCATTTTCCCCAAGGTAGTCCACAAGATAACATTTTCCTACTCTGGGATATCCTCTTCACAACATATCAAATGGAAAGAGAAGTGAGTCACCTCCTTCTAAGGAATAGAATACATCTCAATACTATTTCCTCTTCGGATCCCAGCTCCCAAACTCTTTTTAATTTCTAAGTTTAGGTGCATTTGAGTCTTGCATGAGAGCACAAACTTATTTATTTGTGGGTGCTGTAAGGCTTTCAATTTCATAATTCCATTTGAAGTCAAATTGAAAATCTGAATCTAAAATTTGTAAATTCATTGGATTAGGCAAAGGTATCAAGGTTATGTTTGTCGATATTCTAATGCTTGCGGAATTTTCACCTAAAAGTTTTATGAAGAAAGTTTTTTGGTCTTGCTCTGTTGTCTGTTTTGATGCTCCGAGTTTGTTAGGGGAACATTTGAAAACTTGTGTCTTCACCTTCTTTGAAGAATTATTCTTGAACAATGATTAAGGCAGCTTCCAGCTTTCCCTTGTTTTTATGCGTCTATAATATCCATTTTCTTGAAAAGTTAAGATTTACCATGTAATCTAAGAAGCCGCATCTAACCCACTCTTGTCAATACAGTAATTTTCCTCTGCTATTTCTAAATAAAAAGATATTATATGGCCCTGAAGTTTCCACTTAATATTACCAGCTACATATTCTGCTGAATCTGTGATGATTTTGCCAAGTCAAAGTAAGAATATGCATTTTGAAGGAGTAGTAACAAAATGCTGGACCAGAACAGTGCTTTCGTCTTGTTTCTCACTGCTGTAGTCACAAAGCTGGAACTGCCTAGAACAAAAATATAAGGTCCCAAGTTGTGAGAAAGAGAACAGCGAATCTTTTGTAGGAATATCGCTTCTTGAATTCGTTCTTAAGCAAGAATTGACCAAATCTTGTTGTTTGGAAAACCGCATGAAGGTTGGTCTGGACTTGACAATTGATGCTAAAAGGCAATTGGATCAGATTTCTAAATTGTCCTCCATGATTGATATTTAAAGACTTGATTTTTCCATGCAAACTGTGGTTCTCATCTGGTGCAAACTAGTATTCTACTAAGCAAGAAGAAAGTTAATGCATTTACTGATCAACTACAACTTTAGAGTCGACCCTTTTCCAGTAACACTCTAATGCCTACACTCGCAGAATAATTTCATGAAAAACTAACTGAGGCTGTTGGTGAACTATTGAAGTTGGTGCTCTGGTTGATTTAAGAACTCTCCTTACAACAGAACAACACATGTTTTTTAATTCTTTTCTTTTTCTGTAATTGTTTGGAATAGAGGGTAATTTATTTGGAAACTGTTGCGAACAGGACATCCCAATAAAATGTGTCTACGCAGTTAAGGTGTGCTGTGCTTTTGCGGCAATTGAGACTTGCAAATTTAACTTGCATTTGTACCCTAGCCACTTGTCTTCCAACAAAGTCATCAGCTTAAAAGGAATGACAAGTCTTTATATGGTTCAATAGATCTTCATAGAATTTTCGTATTCCAATGGCTTCTACATTTTTTCTGTTCCTCGGACAACTAACCAAATCGTGGCTAACAGATCATAGCATGTCAAAGTCTAATTGTTTTTCCTAGGCCATGCAAGAGGAATTGACAAGAAAAGCAGCAGATCTTGCATTGGAGAACGAAAATTTGAAGAAGGTATGTGGAATATCTTTGCTCATATGTTTCTCTTCCATTCGGAATAAGTTCCCTAACTTTGAGAGTAACTTAGTCCAATGCACAAAGTTACTTTAGGATCATTATCTCTGCCATAGTCATTTCCTGCTTGGTGACATTTTTGACGAAATAGAATAAGGAGCTTGCTGCTGCGGAGTATAGTTCTTTGAGGAACAAAAATAGTAGCTTAAAAACGCAGGTAATATAGTTCAATATTGAGATTACTGACTTTGAATTACATATTTACAGAACACATTACATGATTGGTTAATTTGCAGATGGCTAAAATAGTTAAGGCGGAAGTACAAGAAACATACGATGAGTCTAAGTTGACACCTGTGGAAACTCCTAGTACTTGGACTACATTTCCAACTTTCCTCCATAACCAAACTCAGGCAACGCCGTTCTTTTGGTCTACGGTCTTTCAACCTTTACAAAGTGGTTCTCAAAGTATTTATGGTTTTACACAAGAGCTGCCTAAACCTCTTGGAGAATTTAAACGGTCTGACCAACTAGAAAGTCACATGATGATGAATAAGCCATTATATATACTTCCGTTCCCATTCCATGCCGAAAGTAATCCATTTTATCCACCGTCCTCAAATCATAATGAGCAACACGAGACTTCTGTAGTTCATGAATGTAGTACTTCAAACCCAAGAACCACGGTCAACATGGAGAACCACCTAACAGCAACTCCTCTGAAAGTTGAAACAGAAACTACTGACTCAATAGATACTATTCATAGGGACATCCTTCGCGAAGCTGACAGTGGTTATCTACTAAATGAAGGAAGTGGGCAGCTATTAGGGCTTCGGTCTAAAGAGATGCTCCAGGTGACTGCCAATTCAAGTCCTTTCGTACGACCGGTTATTACTAGACAAAGTATACGTAACAGCCCTCAACAAGACAACACCACTCCTGATGTCAAAGTTACTTCTTCTGCTGGTGGGCATGTAGCCGGTGCCTCCCCTAAAATGTATCAAGCAACGCGTCTGCAGATGCCATTATATATAGCAGCAAAGGCCCGTAGGAAGAGGAAGGAGCTTATGAAACTAAAAAGCCAGTGTTATTATCAGTTCCATTAAACAGGTAAGGTTCTAAGGCATGAGATTAGCAGAAAAGAGAGAATAAATTACTAGAGATCAAATTACTATGTTTTTTACCATAGGAGATTTACTTCTGTATGAGGTGGTGATGATAATAAATAATTGCTGAGCCACAGAGTGGACCGAGCTCAAGTATACTTTTCTCCACATGATTTTGGTTTTGAGTTCTTCTTTTTCCCCATATTCTCTTTAGCATCTGTTTGGTGTATGTCTTTTGGGGCTAAACCATTGAAATTGTCGAGACTATACAATCACACCTCTCTCGATAACATCGCTATATAACAGTCATTCACTATAAAAGCTAAATTTTCGTCAGAACCGATCTTTTAAGCTATATTTTACCTCTCTATAACAACTTTTTATCTGTAATAACAACAATCATGCTTATAGCAGAATGTTCTTTGTAAAAGTACCTATCTATAATAGCAATATAGATTTTTTAAGGTTACTTATAATAATAATTCTAAAAGTATGCACACAATCTTTTTCCATAGACAAAATTTCTATTTTGCATAAGATATAAGATTTGAAGATTTGCACATGATATCTTTATTGGGTTTTTAAGCTTAAATGTAACTTAAAAGAGGGTGAATGAGAAATGGAGGAAATTAAAAATATTTGAGTTTCCCTCCTTGACAAAGGGACATTGTCCCATATTGGAAGAGAAAAAGGTTTTGATGGGTAGCTCTCAAAGAGATAAGAAGAGATAAGAAGAGATAAGAAAAAGGCAAGCCTCGCGCCGAAGTCGTCGTCGCTCAGCTTCGGCTTATCGGATTCAGATTCAGATTCAGACCAAATCAAATTAATCAAATGATAGATTGATTAATATATTGGACCAAATTTATTTGTTAATAGTAAATATTAACAGAAATATTATTAAATATCCATTTTTTTAAACGAAAAATTAATATTAAATCCAACGGAATAGTATATGCCCTTTGTTTTTTGTAAAAGCCATTTAATTTATGGCCGTTTTACACAAACAGTCATTCTGAAGAGTTGCACCTCTTCAGTTTGAGCTCAACATTGGCTATAAATACCAGTTCATTCTCTCAGATTTTTCATACGAATTTCTGACTTCTCCTCCTTTCTTCTGCATTGTTTTAATTACAAAGAAAGCAATAGTAAGTGTGATTTGCTACCCGATCTTTGTGTTCGCTGAAACATTGGGGTTTGAGATATCGCTACACTAGTGTGTAATTCGTTCTATCCTGCGAGAAAATAATCCACAACCTTGGGTACTAGGAGGGGATTAAATTTCTTAAGGAAACAATGTGAATTCAGTGGGCTCAGATTAAATTCTGTTTCTTTTATATTTCTGTTAATATGTTATTTTATCTTCTCCAGAATTATTTTACAAATACAGAATAATAACAAGCTTAAGGAATTTAATATTTTTTGTATTTGTGTTATACTTACTGTTTCTGGAGACTAAAACCTGTGTTGTTTTCTACTCCAATGGAGATTAAAATCTACGTGATTTTAACGTTTGTTTGTGTTATTCTTTTACAGAAATGACGAATGACAACGAGAATCGGACTGTTCCTATGGTGACTGCCAATGCATCGACAAGCCGAACAACACCGACATTGGCACCGACAGAAAAATTCGAAAAATTTTCCGGGATTGATTTCAAGCGGTGGCAGCAGAAGATGTTCTTCTACTTGACGACTTTAAGTCTGCAGAAGTTCATTAAGGAAGATGTTCCTGTTCTACCCGACGAAACTCCAGAAAATGAACGCTTTCTCGTGATTGAGTCGTGGAAGCATTCTGATTTTCTATGCAAGAATTATATTCTTAGCGGACTAGAGGACGATCCGTATAACATCTATAGTAATATAGAGACGTCAAAACAACTGTGGATAGCGCTTGAAAGGAAATACAAAACGGAAGATGTCGGGTTAAAGAAATTCGTTGCCGCTAAATATTTGAACTATAAAATGGTAGATAGCAAGTCTGTTATTACCCAAGTCCAGGAATTGCAAGTGATTATTCACGATCTCCTTGCTGAAGGTATAAGTCAAATTAATACTAATGTTGAAAGTATTAATTATATTGTTTCTACTAACAGAATTTACAATGAAGGTCTTGTCATCAATGAAGCATTCCAAGTTGCAGCAATGATTGCGAAGTTGCCTCATTTGTAGAAGGACTTCAAAAACTACTTGAAACACAAACGCAATGAGTTGTCCCTTGAAGATCTCATTGTTCGGTTGAGAATTGAAGAGGACAACAAAGCTGCTGAAAAGAAAGGCCGTGGAAACTCAACAATAATGGGAGCAAATATTGTTGAAGATAGAAAGAGGAAGAAGGCTTATAGACCGAAAAACAACCCAAGCAAGAAGCGGTTCAACGAAAATTGTTACAACTGTGGAAAAGCTGGACACAGATCTGCAGATTGTCGTGCTCCAAAGAAAGACAAGAAGAAGGGTCAAGCAAACATGGTTGAAAAGCACGAAGATGTCGATGACTTGTTATGCTTTCTGAATGCAACATGGTGGGAAATCCTAAGGAGTGGTGGATTGATTTTGGAGTCACTCGCCATGTTTATGTTGTTAGGGAAGCGTTTGCTACACATCCCGAAGAGACGCTTTCTATGGGAAATTCTGCAACTACCAAAATTGAAGGATGTGGAAAGATATTTATGAAAATGACTTATGGTAAGGTGATGACTTTGAACAACGTCCTTCATGTTTCTGAGATTAGAAAGAACTTAGTCTTTGCTGGACTTCTTGTTAAGAACGGATTTATGTGTGTTTTTGTATCCGATAAGATTGCAATAAGTAAAAATGAGATGTTTGTAGGAAAAGGTTACCTCACTAAAGGCCTTTTCAAGCTGAATGTATTGGTTGTTGAGAATAATAATAAAATTTCAGCTTCTTCTTACTTACTTGAGTCAAATGAATTATGGCATATACGTTTGGGTCATGTCAATTATAAAACCTTGCGAAAAATTATTAATTTGGAAGTATTGCCTATGTTTGAATGCGACAAATCAAAATGTCAAATATGTGTGGAATCTAAGTATGTTAAACATCCTTATAAGTGAGTTGAAAGGAATTCAAATCCTTTAGACTTAATTCACACAGATATTTGCGACATGACAATACTATCTCGCGATGGAAAGAAGTATTTCATAACTTTTATTGGCGACAGTACTCGATATTGCCATGTTTACTTACTTAATAGTAAAGATGAAGCAATAGATGTATTCAGGCAATACAAAAATGAAGTTGAAACGCAACTTAACAAGAAAATCAAATGATAAGAAGTAACGGTGAATATGAATCTCCTTTTGAAGAAATATGTTTAGAATATGGAATAATTCATCAAACAACGGTCCCTTACACGCCCCAATCCAATGGAATTGCAGAAAGAAAGAATCGTTCATTAAAGGAGATTATAAACGCATTGTTGATAAGTTCTGGTTTGCCACAGAACTTGTGGGAGGAAGCCGTTCTTACGGCTAACCGGATACTAAATCGAGTACCCCAAAGCAAAACACAATCCATTCCATATGAAAAATGGAAAGGAAGGAAGCTCAACTTGAATTATTTTAAAGTGTGGGGGTGTTTGGCAAAAGTGCAAGTTCCTAAACCCAAAAGAGTAAAAATAGGACCGAAAATCGTTGATTGTGTTTTCATAGGATATGCGACCAATAGTAAAGCATATTGATTTATAGTTCATAAATCAGAAAATTCCGACATTCATAATAATACAGTTATAGAATCAAATAATGCTGAGTTCTTTGAAAATATATACCCGTATAAAAAGGAATGTGAGTCGATTGGTGAAGGATCTAAATGACCTCGGGAAGAAATAAAAGAAAGTACATTTAATCAGGAGGATCCAAGACGTAGTAAACGTCAAAGAACGTTTCCTTCATTTGGATTAGATTTTGTGACTTTCTTATTGGAAAATGAGTCTCGAACATTTAAAGAGGCTATCTCTTCTTCGGAATCATTATTTTGGAAAGAGGCAGTCAATAGTGAAATAGAATCCATATTGAACAATCATACATGGGAATTGGTTGATCTTCCTCATGAAAATAAACCTTTGGGTTCTAAATGAATTTTTAAGAGGAAAATAAAAGATGATGGCACTATTGATAAATATAATGCAAGACTTGTAGTCAAAGGGTATAGACAACGAGAAGGTCTTGATTATTTTGATACATACTCTCCAGTTACAAGAATTACGTCCATACGAATGTTAGTAGCATTAGCAGCAGTTTATGGTCTTGAAATTCATCGGACGTTAAGACGGCCTTCTTAAATGGAGATTTGGAGGAAGAAATCTACATAGAACAACCTGAAGGGTTTGTGGTTCCAGGTAAAGAAAAGAAGGTATGTAGACTTGTTAAGTCCCTTTACAGATTAAAACAAGCACCCAAACAATGGCATGCGAAATTTGACCAAACAATGTTGTCAAATGGTTTTAAGATAAATGAATGTGATAAATGTGTGTACATTAATAATGTTCCAAATCACATAGTCATTGTTTTCTTGTATGTGGATGATATGTTGATAATGAGTAATGTCATTGCCAACATAAATGCGACTAAGCGTATGCTAACTAGCAAGTTTGATATGAAGGACTTGGGAGTTGCTGATTTAATTCTGGGGATTAAGATCAATAAGACTCCTCAAGGTCTGGCATTATCACAATCTCATTATATTAAGACAGTACTTGAAAAATTCAAGCACTTAGGGTTTAAAGTTGCAAAGACTCCAATTAACATGAATCTTGCATTAGCAAAGAACAAAGGCCAAAGCATATCACAATTGGATTATGCTCGTGTGTTGGGATGCTTAATGTATATCATGAATTGTACACGACCAGATATAGCTTGTGCTATAAGTAAATTGAGTCGATACATGAGCAATCCAGGTCAATCTCATTGGATGGAAATGAAACGAGTTTTGGGATATCTAGAACATACCCAGGACTTTGCTTTTCACTACAGTAAATATCCTGCGGTGATTAAGGGGTACTGTGATGCAAATTGGATCACCGGTTCAACTAATTCTAAGTCCACAAGTGGATATGTATTCATTATTTGTGGAGGAGCGGTATCTTGAAAGTCGTCCAAGCAAACTTGTATTGCCCGCTCTACAATGGAGGCTGAGTTCATAGCCTTAGATAAAGTCGGTGAAGAAGCTGAATG